CCCTGATCCTGTGGTCATACACTCTTCCTAGTCCCTGTTCCACAGTGTTTCCTGAGAGCCTTAGGTGCAGGAGTTGTCTTGTGGATGTAGCCACTGGGACTGGGCTCCACGGCTCCACATCGGTTGTGGTTTTCTGTGATGGTGTCTGTCAAAGAGGAGTGTCCTTGACAAGGGCTGAGGACCACACTCACATGTGGGTATTAGGACAAATGTTTAAAGTGTAGTTAGGGGTTGCTCTGAAAAGTAATGGGGTAGCTGTAGATTTACAGTGCCATGCTGGCCAATATTGTGCTTTATAGGTGCCATAGCTGAGTATCTATTCATTTTCTTTTATTTTTATTTAATGTGTATGGGTGTTTTGTCTTCATGGAGGCCAGGGGAAGGTATCAGATATCCTGGGACCAGGGTTAGAGACGGCTGTGAACCACCATGTGGGTACTTGGATATGAACCCAGGTACTCTGGGAGAGCAACCAGTACTCTTAACCACTGAGCCATCCCTCTGACCTGTCTATTCATTGGGTCAGATGGTAGGACACCTTTAATCCCAGCACTCAGAAGGCAGGGGCAGGCAGATCTCTGTGAGTTCAAGGCCAGCCTGCTCTACATAGTGAGTTTCAAACCAGTCAGGATAAGTACAATGATCCTGTCTTACAAGAATTTACAAACATACAGTGTAATCTTTAGAAAATTATTTATTTTATATGTATGAGTGCTTACCTATATGTGTACTTGTAGGTAATGCCTGTGGGGGCCAAAAGAGGGTGTCTCATCCCCTAGAACTATAGTCCCAGATGATTGTGAACTATTGTGTACGTGCTAAGAACCAAACCCAGGTCTTCAGCAAGACCAGCCCATGCTCTAAACACCCCCATCCCACCCTGCCATCTCTCCAGCCTGATCAATCTTCGATGGGCAAGAATTATCAATTTTTGTAAGCGACTTGTGTTTACATCTGAGTTGAGAAACATTTGCTGTCCCATGGCAAAGGTGTTCCCCTGTTTTTTTCTGGAAGCTGTCTTCTGGGCTTTACATCCATTGATGATCCTTCTCAAATTCATCTTTGTATGTAGAGACGTCGTACACATACACACGTGCACACACACACGCACACCACACACACATACACACACACACACCACGGATAATCAGATATCCCAACTCCACTGGAAAAGTTTCCTTTAGCCCTCTTGGCTGGAAACTGACTGGTAGCACACGGGAGCCATATCTGGGCTCTTGCTCTGTCCCGTGGTGGCACATGGGGGCCATGTCTGTCCCTTGCTCTGTTCCCTGCTGACGTTCTGCCCGTAGGCCTGTTCTATGCTGTCCCAACCACACAGCTGAGCATGAGCAGCAGGAGCAGGTGAGCTAAGAACTTGGCTTCTCTTTGTTGAATCATTTGTCTGCTTATTTATAAATCATGGAGTCAGTTTCTTGAGGAAAGCCTGCTGGAATCTAATGGGGATTGCTTTGGGGGTCACCTTAACCGTGTATCTTCAGATCACCCCTACACTGGAGCCGTCCTTTATTTTTCTAAGTGGTGTTGCATCATTTTTCAGCCAAGTGGTGTTACACATCCTAGGATAGGCTAGAGCCTATTTATCTGACATTTTAAAATCTTTGTGTGGGTTGTGTGTACTATATATGGATGTGTTCATTTGTGTGTGAGTACTGACTGTGCCATGCCACAGCGTAGTTATGGAGGTCAGAGGACAACCTAAGGTCTCAATCCTTACCTTCATCTTATTTGAGATGTCTTCTTTGTTGTTCTGTCAAGACTTACACCAGGCTAACTGGTCTGTGAGCTTCTAGGGATTCTCTTGTCTCTCCTTTCCCTCTTGCCAGAGGTTCGCTGGGATTCCCTGTGCTACTGCATACTGCTTTACATGGGCTCTAGGGATTCGAACTCAGATCCTCACACCTGCACAGGAAGAGCTTCACCCATTGAGCCACACCTCCCACAGTCCTATTTGATGTATCTGAAGTCGTTGTAAACGGCATTACCAACTCCATTTTCCAATTGTTTATCGCTTAACGGGGCGAAGTGGCGAATGCCTGTAATTATAACACCTCAGAGGCTAAGGCAGGAGAATTTTAAGTTAAAGGATAGCCTGGGCTACATAGCAAGACCCTGTCTCAAAACTAAGCCTCAGTTGTTTACTGTTCGACTTCTATCCTAATAGGTTGAGAGTGGCCCCATACTTACTAGCATCTTTAGCACAGAGAAGAAGGACAAAAGCTGAAAAGACTACAGGGGGCAGTTGCAATCCCTTGGGGAGGGGTGACATGGTTGGGGAAGGGATGGCTATACAGAGCCATCAGGATTCTCTGAGAGATGGAGGGCTGATGTGAGAGGGAGAAGCTGGGGTTACTGTCCAGGCTGACCAACTAAACCAAGGGTTCCCGACCTTCCTGACGCTGTGACCCTTTAATACAGTTCCTCATGGTGTGCTGACCCCCAACCATAAAATTGTCCTTTGCTACTTCATAACTGTCATTTTCCCACTGTTACAAATTTCAATGTAAATATCTGGTATACAGAATATTTCATATGTGCCCCTGAAGGGGTCACAATCCACAGGTTAAGAACTGCTGACCTAGACCAACAGGGTTGCTGGCAGCAAAGGTGCTTTGTAGCACGGGGACTACAAGGTCTTGAAAGTCAGTCACGTTGGGATGGGTGGGGTCTGAGCTGTGCAGCAGGGAATCATCAAAAATCTCTTCCCAAGGTGTGACAGAAGCAGAGCCCCATGGCCTGTACCTTCTGGGTCAGGAGGCCACCTTACCAGGGAGAGGGAGAAAAGGGGTGGACTAACCAGGCTGAGGGAAGGCATCTGAGGAAGAGCAAGTGTCAGCTGTGTGGACTGGTGAGTCCCCAGACTGACAGGGAATGTCCTGTTGTGGGACACTGTCATTGGAGGACAGGTATTGGTGTGATGGCTGAGCCGGGACACAGGAGGACAAGAGCTAGGGGAGTTCCCTCAAGGCAGCTTTCAAAAGGCTCCTTGCCACTAAGGACGTACCTCAGTGGTAGAGCTAGCTTAGCGTGCCAGGCTCTGAGTTTGGCACCCAGCACTGTGAAGAAAGGCCTGGCAGCTCCTGGTCTCAATGGCAAGAGTTCTCAATGAGCTGCTGGCCCCTCACAGGGCTTCATGGCCTTTGCAGCTGGCCTCGATTCCCTGTGCCTTTTCTGTGAGTGTGCCTTGCAACGACAGGTAGAAGGAATCCCTGAGCCTTCCCTGGAATTGGTGACTCTGTGTGTGTATGTGTGTGTCCGCGAGTGTGTATGCGTGTCCCAAGCCACCTGCTGATGACAGGCAGTCCTGCATCAAGTACCTTTGCTTCAACTCAGTCTCTTTGAAGGACCACTTCAGCCTGAGGGAGACTTTCACATACCCTGTGGCACTCAACGTTTATCTGATGAGTTAGCCTGTGTCTTCTGCACCTTTGGCCACCACAGTGGCTGTCCAGATCTATGGTCCTTGTCCATGGCATTTGTGCCTTGGTTCATACAGGACAGAAAATGGAGGAAGCCACGTTGCTTTCCACAGAATCCAAGACATGAGAATACAGGCAAAGTTCTTGTGAGCAACAGAGAAAAGACACCCAACTTTGTCACTGCACTGAAGAGCCCCACAGGTGTACTTGAGGGACTTCCACAGGCACTCAGGGCAAGCTGCTCTGCTTTCCACACCCACTGGTGAAGTTCTGTGGCTTCCTGGGTCACGAACTCCACAGGCAGGCTCTCCCAGTTAACTTGTTCTGAGCATGTCTAGTTTGTTGGTTTGATACATTTAAAATATTCTGTAGCTTTCCACGGGCTTCAAGGCTATTTCTACATTTCTACCATTCACTGTCTTTACTAATGCTCTGGTCATAGGGTGGCTTTGGTTTCAGGATCTGCCCAACCCCACACCTTCCCTGAACTCTGTGGTTTATATTGGCTGGAACACCCAGATGCGTCTGCCCAGAAATCCCGGACTGTCTCTTTGGTGAGAGTCAGGGTCAGGAGGAGGGAAGAATGGACAAGGATGTTAGGTGTAAGGCCTGACCAGAAATCCCGCCCAGCAAGAACACTTGCCTGATGTTCTAGAATGATCCATGCTTCTATTTCTTGTTTTTATAAGCATTCCCCAGGCACAGGCTGGCAGCGGCAGGTGTGGTTCAAGGGCTAGCCTGGTACCAAAGGGAACCTCAAGGCCCCTGGCAGACCAGCCACGACACATTCTCAGGAGCAACAATGGGAGAACCTTCATCTTGTTCTAGTGTAGTAACTCTCTGCCTGTGGGGAAGTTCCCAGCATTCCTTTTCTGTGTAGTATCTTAGCCCCAGAGGAAGGGCCCAGGGCAGCCCGAAGCCTTACACAGGGGAAGAAAGGATACAGGAAAGACATGCAGAGCTGTCAAGAGTGAACATGGCAGAGGGATGGGGTAACCTTGTTCCCATGGAACTGGAACCCAATGGCTCGTGCTTGACTCCTCCCCAGCATCCACGGGGTTCAATCCTATTCCTACAAGGCTTCAGGGAAGCTTATAGAGGGTATCATACCAGGACCCTACCCAACTCAGCATCAGAACTCATCAGACCAAGCCCTGGGGAAACTGAGGCCCAGAGTGACATGGCAATTAGTCCAAAGTCACAAAGCAAATTGAAAGCAGAAGGAGAGCAGCTCTTTTATTAATTTTTAAAATAAATTTAATTTGGATTTTAAATTTTTATTTATTTATTTATTTATTTTTATTATTTTGGTTTTTTCAAGACAGGGTTTCTCTTTGTAGCCCTAGCTGTCCTGGAACTCACTCTGTAGACCAGGCTAGCCTCGAACTCTCAAACTCAGACATCCACCTGCCTCTGCCTCCCAAGTGCTGGGCTTAAAGGCGTGCACCACCACCCCCCGGCCTGGATTTTTTTTTTTAAAGAGGTAGGCAGCATTGTGATAACAAGTAAATCTGTTAGGGTCTAGATCAAAGGGCACCCTCGTCCATCCTGTGCCCCACTCAGGTGCAGACTTTCCATGGAGACCTGCTTCAACACATGGAGAAGAACACAAAGCTGGACATGCAGTTCATCAAAGTAAGTCTGTCCCTTTACCCCAGCCCCTCCCAGGCAGGACACACACACACCGCTTGCAACAGAGGGCCACACAGGCGAGCGGCCAGCATCCACCTGCCCCGGGGGGCTATCCCATTAGTGCCACTTCGGTCCCTGTCCATTACTTTGAGTCCTGACCTCTTTAATGTAGGGATCCCCTGTGTGTCTCTGCCCTAACCCAGGATAGCTGCCAGCACTACGAGATTGAGTATCGCCACCGAGCGGCCAACCTGGAGAAGTGCATGTCTGAGCTATGGCGCATGGAACGCAAGAGAGACAAGAACGCACGGGAGATGAAGGTATGAACGTTTGAGGGACTGGGGGCAGGTCTCTGGGAAAACCTAGCACCCTTGTGAGCTGCTCCACCCAAAAAGAGCACAGCTGTGGGGAGCAAGCTGGATAGTCACCAACGGCCACCCTCAGCACCCCTCCCTTCCTCAGCCTCACTGAGAAAATGGGACCATGGGCCCTCGCTGAGCTTGAATGGGTAGCAAAAATGGTTCCACCCACATCGTGCCTGGAAAGAAGCATCCAGTCCCTGCCAATGTCGCTCCCAGCTTCCATCCCTGCCTCTGTCTATAGGATCCAAACCCAAGATTCAACCTCTGCTTCCTTTAGGGGCTTTTAATGAGCTCCAGTCTCTCCCTTCCAAGGAGAGCATCACTCATTCTTCCATTCCTGTTTCCATAAACCATCCTCTCTATGGCAACCTCTGCACGCCCCTGTGCAGGGTACCAGAGACAGTCATGGTACCCAGGTACCCAGGCCAGTGGGTCACAGGGTGAAGATGCAAACTGATGTTCAGGGGAGGACTGGAGAAGGGACATCTGAGTCAGAAGGGCTCAGGCCCCCAGCCAGAATCTTCTCCTCCTGCCTCTAGGAGAGTGTAAACCGGCTGCACGCACAGATGCAGGCCTTCGTGTCCGAGAGCAAGCGAGCAGCCGAGCTGGAAGAAAAGCGGCGCTACCGCTTCCTGGCTGAGAAGCACCTGTTGCTCTCCAACACTTTCCTGCAGTTCTTGGGCCGGGTGAGTGGGGCTGGGGAGAGCAAGCCACGCCCTCCCGAGTGGGCGGTGAGCAGGAAGCCGGAATGCTCCTCCTCTTTGCTTTCTTCATCTGTGTGGACTTTAATCTCACCACACTGTTTCCGTGTTCATTTGCATGTATTGTTAATTCATAATTTGTTTTGCATACACATATTTATGCATTCAAATACAAGTCATTTGTTTAATTAGGTCAGAGGATAGCTGTGTGAAGTTGGTTCTCTCTTTCAACTTCTTTGACTTCCAGAAATCAAACTCAGATCCTTAGGCTTTTGCCGCAATCTCCTTCACAAAGGGTCATTTTGCTGTCCCCCATTTTAAAAAATCCGTAATGCATATTCAGTGGTTGTTCAACAATTAGGCATTAATTGTGTCTGTCATCTAAGTGAAATTCTTGAAGCTTTGTGTCGTCTGCAGAACAATTCAATTTTCTCAATTCTGTTGGATTTCTTTCTTTTTTTTTTTTTTTTGGTTTGGTTTTTCGAGACAGGGTTTCTCTGTGTAGCCCTGGCTGTCCTGGAACTCACTCTGTAGACCAGGCTGGCCTCGAACTCAGAAATCCACCTGCCTCTGCCTCCCAAGTGCTGGGATTAAAGGCGTGCGCCACCACCGCCTGGCTTCTGTTGGATTTCTAATACATTTGATTTCTGTATTTACTTATCATGTTGTTTTGTGCTTTGGGGCTTAAGACCTTTCCCATAAATATCTTTTCTTTTTTCTTTTCTTTTCTTCTTGTTTTGTTTTGTGCTTGATAGTTCTCTTAGTCTGGTTCTATGCTTTTAATTGTACTCTATTTTTTAACATTGTTCAAAATTTAACATTGTAGCAAAATTACAGTTATGAAGTAGCAAAAAAAAAACTTTATGGTTGGGGGTCACCACAGCATGAGGAAGGGTCGCAGCAGTAGGAAGGTTGAGATCCACTGGTCTAGGGTGTACATTCCTAGCTGACCTGAGCTGACTGTGTTCCCCACTTGTCCTTCCCTCCCTCACCCCTCATTCTTGTCAGCCTGGTTGAGTTACTGTGCGGTCCTCATACTACCCTCTCTGTCATTCCCACAGATACATTGTTTCTTACATTCTCTCAAGGGATGCTATGGCCATCCCCGCTCACCACAGATGACTAGCAGTTTTCAATCAGATGTACAGTACACACCATCACCACAATCAACTGCAGAACCCAGCCTAGTCCCCTGCTGCCACTCTCCAGCTGGTCCTCTGCTCTGCAGGACCCCTGATCACTTCCTGTCTCAGGAGAGTTGCCCACTCTGGGCATTCATAGCAAAGGAGTCATTGGATATGGGGCCTTTCTTACTGGCTTTCCTTTCCCTGCAGAATTGTGTCCCATTGGCTGGATGTCCAATCCTTGCTGGATGCTGTAGGGGGAAGGCTGCTTGAAACATCCATAATAGAGCCAGTGTGTGGCAGGTTTTCATTTCTCTTGAGTATTCAGCTATGAGAGTGCTTTGGCCCTATGATAATGTCACATTCAACCACTTGAGAAACTTCTGATATTCGTCCTAAGTGCTACACCATTTCACCTGTCAGTTTGTGATCTTTCCACAACCTCACCTGCCCCTTACAGCCATTTTGCTTTTAGCCATTGTCTTAGTTAGGGTTTTACTGCTGTTTAGAGACACCATGACCATGGCAACTCTTATAAAGGACAACATTGAATTGGGACTGGCTTACAGTTTCAGAAGTTCAGTCCATGATCATCATGGTGGGAAGCATGACATCATACAGGCAGACATAGTGCTGGAGGAGCCCAGAGTTCTACATCATGATCCAAAGGCAACCAGGAGGCAGATCTCTTCTGCCTGGGTGGAACTTGAGCACCAGGAGCCTTCAAAGCCTGCCTACACAGTGACACACTTGCTCCAACAAGGCCACACCTCCGGATAGTGTCACTTACCATGGGCCATGCATATTCAAACCACCATAGCCATCCTTTGTGGCGTGAGATGGCATCTGTGTGTTGGTTTGCATTTCCCTAAATGCTAAAAACTAGGTATCACTCCCCTGCTTGGAGGCCACTGCATCTTGCCTTTGGGAGGAAGCCTATGTCCAGAACAGCTCACCCCCAGCCTCCAACATTACATGCCGCTGAGGAGGGAGCTATGTGTGAATCAAACCAACCTCCTCTGTGCACACACGACAGGAAGCATGTCCTCTGCCCTACCTGGGATTTGGGACACCCCAGATCTGACTCCTGTGGTGTCAGAAAAGTGAGACAGAGGCAGACACTCACTTCCTCACGACACGAGGTCAGTATTCAACAGATTCCAACTCTGGAAGGGTAAAGAGAATGAGGGGAGGGGTAGGGAGTGCTTCTACCAGCTTGGGGGGGATATAGGGGAGGGCCAAAGGTCTAAGCAATGGAAGGAGTATGTTGAGGTCCCTACCTGGTAGGATAGAGGCTGGTATTTTCCCTCATGAAAAATTCCCATGATCCTCTGGGTGGCGAAAGCTTGTAGTGTTTGCTGGAGGAGTTTAGTGAGACAGTTGTCAGGGCAGGGACCAAAGAGTAAAGCTAGCACAGTCACAATGATTGGCTTGCCAAGGGGGTGACCCACAGTCCCCAAGCAGTCAGGTGTTCTTCCAGAAAGTAGTCTACCCTTTCTCTGTGTTTGATTCTTTCTAATAGTTGTTGAGTGTTTTCTCTATTGGGCCAGATTGGTTCACATGAAAACAGCATCCTTCGGCTAGGAAGGCACAGACTATGCCTCCCTTTTGGCAGTCCTTAAGTGCAGTCCTCTGTGGTTTTGGGGGACCAGGGAATCTATTTGATTTTGTCAGGTGATGATGCTTTGTTGTACCAGGGTCAGGTCTTCCTTCATCTGATAGGGTTGGCCATGTTGTGCCCATTGGAACTCTCTCATTGATGTCCCTCTAGGAATATAGGGGTGGCCTGAGGCTTGTCTTTATTCTGCTCTTATAGACAAAATATTGATAAACGTTATATCCTGGGAGAGCATCCAAGCTTAGCTTGGGAAGACTGTGGCCCATTGCCCTTCAGGGTAGCTTACTGTTAAGTGCCATCCTGACACACAAAGCAAGTCCCATTTGATGCCCTTGCCACGGGAACCGATTGGGGACAATTTGTTTCTGGTCGTATACAACCTCACTGATAGAAGCTAAGCAGGAGTCATCTATTGGCAGATTGGTTTGCCTTAGGGTGGGTATGACTACCCGGTATGTGCCATTTGGCTGACTCTCAGACAAGTCCAGAAATCCTTCCCCAGCTCTGGGCTAGCCATGGACAGTGAGGCATGGCTGAAATTTGCCACTGGATCATTTTTTATGATATTGATAGTGTGATTAAAGGAGTGACTATGAATGTGGGGTCCCCAACCCAGGAGTGCATTGCAGGCTGGGGTGCTCATGGTATAAGTTGTTTGTGCTCACAGAAACAGAAATGGTTTTGGCCCTTAGAGACAACTGTGAGGTTTGGAGGGGCCATTTGCCCCAAGAGTGTATAACCCCAATCTGTAATTGTTATAGCAGTGTTTTTTTTTTAAATGGGTAACTCCAAAATTATGCCAGCCTTATGCCCCCACCCCATCCAATAAATGAATTGACTTTTTGTCCCTGTGTGGATGGCTCTGCCTGTGCCCTTGAACTAGCAAAATCAATGCAGTAAATGCCTGTGCAACCACTGTTATGTTTCCGAGGAACACGTCCTGTCTGGAGGCAGCCACAGTTCATGAGTCTTTTCTGGTCCAGGAACAAAAGGAAATTTTTGCAGGGGTCTTCTTGAAGACATTTAGTCACATCAATCAGGGCCCCGTGGGCAAAGGGTTAGAAGAGAGGTCGAGTGTCTCAGAGTGAAGGGGATCTGAGGACATGGAGGGGTTCCTGGGGAGCAGTGTGGTGGGATCGAGGGGTAGGCATGGCTCAGAGACCTGGTTGGGATCTAATAGGTAGGCCTGGAGAAGCTGGACCCTGGATGAGGGTAGCATTGGGAAAGGATCATGGCCGACAATGTGGAGGGCCTGGGAGGTGAGATTTTTGTTGGCCTCGGAGACAAGCAGTGCCACTGTGGCAAGTGCCTGGAGACAGAGCAGCCAGTATCTGGTGGCCATGTCCAACTGTTTGGAGCAATTGGCTATTGAGAGCATGTGTCCCCCACTTTTTGGCAGAATATTGCAAGGGCTTGTCCTTGGTTCGCACATAAAAGAGATAGAGGGCTCTCGTAGATCTGGAAGTGCTCATGGAGAGGTATGTGAGGGAATATAGTTGAATACGTTTTGTGGAGAAGGGAAGGATTGGGAGGGGCAAGAGTGGCTCCCCCAGGGGCCCCTCAGTGGCTTCATAAAGAGGCTGAGCAGCAAGGGGGTGGGGGGAAGAAATCCAAACATCTACACAAGTAGGAATGCAAGCAGCTCTCTCCTGGTGTGTAGGGTGGGGTGGGTAGGCTAGGGCCTCTTCTATTCTGGCTTGAGGTATAGTTCTCCTCTCCTGTGAGAGAAACAGGTCCCAGTGGGTGACTGATGTCTGGCAGATCTCAAGAGACCCTATATCCCAAGAGGACAGAGAGTTAAGGAAGGTTGCGGAGTGGTAGAGACGGTCTGTGGGGGAAGGGCTGCAGAAGAGCTGGGCTGCAGGATATCCGGGACCTCCCAGGCAAGGACAAAGCAGGGTTGGGGTGCAGGGTGTAGGGGGTGATAGAGAAGAAGGCAGCAGAGGAGGGGGCGGAAGAGAGTGTGTACAGGTTAGTGACCATGGAAACAGAGAAAACAGCGGCCTGGTTGGTTTTCCAGAGGTCCTGGACCACGTGATAAGTGCCATTGGGCTTTTGTTGGTGGAGGTTAAAGGGCAGCTTGTAATAGTCACATACCGATAGGCTAATGACCATGATGAGTGGGGGAGGGGTGAGAGGATATCGGTTCTGGATGTCAAAGGCTGAGGGTCTCTCTAGGTTAGAAAGACAGGACCATGATGGTTAGTTATGAGGAATTTGAGGTGTCGCAGACTAGGGGGTTG